CTCATCTGATTTGTTGGGAGTCACGAGTCTGACCAATCAAAGCGGAATTCACTCTCACTCTGAAAGCGCTTGCTAACTGCAGCTGCTTCAGTGATCACGCATCAGTTGTCTCTCAAAGGTAAGGCAGCAGCAGACATTGCTTAAGTTGCAATAAATCACAATCCACTAATGTTACACTGAAGTTGCACAACATCTCAATATTATCTATGATTTCCGCGATGCGGAAAACGCGGACGGAATTGCGGAATCCAGGCAGATAAATGGAATTTACTGTATGACGCAGAATGTCATGGAATTTGTCAAAGTTTGGATTAATTAATCAAAAGTAGATCAGTACACTTAAATATGGAAATACGCAATATGGACTATCTGTAAATATTAAGCCGCAAAAATACTACTTAAATATGAATCCAGCATGTTCTGCGTGTCTCTGTGTATGTAAATGGCACAGACGCACGGTTTTGTTTTCTACACAAAGCTAATTTTTGATCAGAATTTTTGATTATTGATCAGAAGGTGCTCCTTAATTTTTTTTAAAGGGGTCATATGATGCTTTGTTTAAGATCATCATTTTGTGTATTTGGTGTTACAAAATATGTTGACATGCTGTTGACATTCAAAAAAGACATTATTTTTCAAATACTGTACATTATTGTAGGTCCTCTATGCCCCGCCTCTCTCAAACGCTTTGTTTTCTACAAAGTCCCTCCTTCCGACAAGCGCATTCTGCTCTGATTGTCCAGCTGACCCACTGCATTGTGATTGGCCGAACACCGCAAGCACTCGTCGGAAATGTAACGCACCTTACCATAATCACGAGCTTCATCTTTCAAAATAAATGTAAAGACAGAGCCCGAAAGGGGAACAGAGTCGCGTGACAGACACAGTGATGAAGCTGGTATGTGTTTGTGATGTGACCCTCTCTCTCTCTCTCTCTCTCTCTCTCTCTCGCTCGCTTGCTCGCACTCACACGCACGCACACACACACGCACGCACACACACACACACGCACACACACAAACACACACACACAC